CATCAGCTCGCATTCTAACATTGGTGTTATTGTTAGAAGAGCAGAGGGATCAATACAATATCTTGCATTCATAAGAAGAGCAGTGGACTAATTAAGTGCAGAAGGACTGATCTTAATAGCTTGCATTCATAAGAAGAGCAGTGGAATAATGATGTCTTCATCTTAGGAAGATCAGAGGACTTGGTACAATTGATGCATTCAATAGCTCGCATTCTATTACGTAGAAGAGCAGTGGTTTGGATGTTTCTTGTCATCTTTTAATCTTTGTTTTTGAATTATGTTCTTGTTTTGAATGTGATGAATGATTGAGAATGTATATTCGTAAAGATCGAGAAGCGTAATTACAATTATTTATAAGACTTACTAGATTTACTTTCTTTTATTTTGATTGATGAATCTGAATCGCTGTCTTTCTCATCGCTGAATATCATTTACCTCTCTTCAATTTGTTCAACCTAATCTCTTCCAATGCATCTTCTTGTTCTATCCTAATTCTCGCTTCTTCTTTGGTTTCAATTTCAAAGCTTCTTTCTTCTTCTGAAGGAGGAGGAGTTGGATCTGGTGTGAATTCTGGTTCTAGGTTTAGGTTTCTTCTGCTTGCTCTCATGATGAAAAATTGTATGTTCGAACAATGAGGGGAGATTACCCGTGAGAACAAAAAGCTCCTCTGAGATAGGAGAAAGAACGTGAGGATGAGACTGGAAGTGAAGTGAGCAAGTCAGATGAGCTAACACTTCCTTCCTAGAGGAGAGAGAGTCCTCACGAAGATTTCTCTCAGTTGTGCCCTGAAGAGATAATTCAGGGCACGCTGGATCTCAACCGACAGTTGACGTGAGCTACTCAGAGCTGTGTCCGCGCTCTTGACGCATCAATCACCCGGGAGAGCTTTCCGGTCTGTGACATGGACAGGATTTATTCCTAGTCCTGTTGTCACCAATCTAACATAAAATCTGCCAAAAACAGGAAAACTTTACGATTATCAAGTAGTTTGTTTGAGCTGTTCCAATTAACTTTGATTTTTTCCTCTTTCAATTTTGATCACATCACTTTTCGGGCTTTTGAATATCTTCTGCAAAACAATAAGAAATGGTGAGTATTCTCTTTTATACCACACATGTCACATAGAGGAGAGGGGACAAGGTTTTGTTTGAAAAGATGTTCATTTAGTGGACTATACCCTGTTTGTAATTAAAAAATGGATGCTGTGGATCCTTTCTCTAGTTCCTCCAGACCTTCAGCAATATGTTTTGGTTTTGAAAAGTATGGTCTATTACCTGGTTTAAAAGGGAATAATGTTACATTGAACTTCTCCTTGGTTCGTCTCTTCAGACTACCCAGGCTGGTTTTTAGTGTCATTGGTTCTGTTTGAGAGCTTGCTGCTTCCCCAGCTAATTGATCAGCTAGTTCGTTCAATTCAACCCCTTCATGGCCAGGGGTCCAATAGAAGTGGACTTTGGTACCTTCTGATAGTCTTTTGATTTGGGATCTGATTTGAAGTATGAGGTGTTGACCGGAGGATGCATTTGGGATATTATGTGAGAGGAGGATAGCACCTTGGTTATCACTAAAGAAAGCTACGTTCTTCGGTTAGGGGTGTTGATTTTTGAATTGTTTGTTGGCCAGTTCAGCGGCTAGAAGGAGGCCCAGAAGTTCTGTCTCGTGATTTGAGAAGTTATCTTGGTGGTGAACTGCTTGAGTAAGGCTGATTGATTGTGATACCGCTGCTGCACCACCCCCCTCTTGATTTCATCGGGGCAATATCGTATGTGAGGATAATAAACCGAGATCGGCCCGATCTCCCTGCGATATCGCGAGACACGATATCGCCGCGATGTCCTGATTGGACCGTAGTGTATGGAACTCTACAGTTGCCGTCGTTCCTTTGGGCACCTGTGGCATTCAACCGCCGACTCAGGAAAGAGCGTGCAACAGTGTATGATGAAAAGGAATCTGTGATCTGATGGCAGTTACTCACGCACACTCACACATGGGATAAAAGGGACCCTCCGGTACTAACCGTTATGTGGTCTTGCACTTGTTTTTGACTGTCAATCATGTCCTTATATCATACATACTACTTAAACAAGGAGTTCTAGAATTGTTGACGGCTGGCGAGCCGCAGGGCTTGCACGTGGCCTTACACTTGCGGTTGAGTGACAGGTGGGCACCTATGTGTAAGTGAAAGGTGCGTTGGATATCCAACTCCTTTGACGCGAACATAGGTGGCGTGTATGTGGACTTTCCTTTTGAGGAATCATCCCGAATTGAGACCCCAAAGGGCGGGAATCATTGCCTAATAAGTCCTAACACTCGAACGACATTCAAGGCCTTATAAAATGGGTCGTCATCCTCTTCAGGACACAAGTCTCACCCGTCTCTGTGTCCTCTAAAAATACCGTACCCAGCATCATGACTTCGGATGCAGTCATCAATACCTATCTCTCTCTCTCTCTGTTATGCGCTTTAATCAACATCGCGCCCACATGCTCACACTTGACACAGGGCCACTCTGGCCCCGGCGCTTTCGGCATCTGGGTGGTACTGCTGAATACTTTTGGTTTCGTGAGCCGGCTTCTTTCTTACCACCCGCTTTCCGATCCCCTGATCTGATTTGTATCTTCGGCGCGATAGGTCAATGGGGTCATTTGGAGGTCGGACGCTATCAACCGCTCTCCTATCTTCTGCGACATCTCGATGCGGGTGAGCTACGGCCTTTCACCATCAAATTTCGACGTAGACACTGATCCTACTGTTCATTCGTGGGAAGCAGATATTTATGGTCGGTCCAATGGGATTATTGATGGCCAACCTTTGCATTATCCGATATCTTTCATCGGTGGTGACTCCAAACCGAGTCGTGGATGGTAAAAGCGATAAACGAAAAAGATTGTTCCTTGACTACCTACTATGTCTTGGTTTTCCATTGGTCCTTGCTGGGGTTGCAGTCATATATCAGGCAGGACGTTTTGAAGTTAATAGGCTTGCGGGATGCTCAAACATTTCGGCTCTTGTGTGGCCCACCTTCGTTTTGTCAATCATATGGCCCCCCATCATATGTGGCGTCTCTTGCGGATACTCATGTGGGTCGTATCTGATAGCTCCCCATCGACTTTTACTGACTAAATTCCTCCACAGTATATGTCATGTACTGGTTGGCTCGTCGCCATCACAACTTGAAACAGCTTTTGGGAAGGTCTAGCTCACCCTTGAACATGTCTCGTTTTACTCGCATGGGAGCATTTTCGGCCACGTACTTTTTAATCTCAGCACCTGTCACCGCGTACGGCACACACGAGATCATAGTGGCGTCAGGTCCATACATTCCCTGGGAATCATGGGCAACGGTGCACAATTCATGGAATAAGGTGCGCAGTCACATACGCTGAACTAGCAGATACGGTCCTAAAATATTGCACCTCAAAAAGCTATCAGATGTCCGACAGAATCCACTGTATCAGTATCAGCTGCGTGACTGGCTATCCATCACCGCCGGACTTGTTCTCTTTGTTTTCTTCTCATTCGGGGGAGAGGCTTCCTTGTTTTATCTCAAGATCTTCCACTGGATATGCCCGGGGAAGTTTGCGAGGATCTGGAAACGCAAAACAGAGGTTCTGTTACCTATTCATGCCTCAGCCCAACATTCTGAGAAGAAAATTATTCAGACGTCAGCACTTTTATCTTTCTCATGAAGAGTAGGTGCGATACTGAATTGTACACCTGCAGGAACTCATCGCAAAGCTCTTTCACCACTCAGGAGAGGCACGAAGCTACGAGGGACTCATGCTCGCAAACTAATTCACACCTCAAGAATATGCTGTATCTTCACGGCCAGCCTACCAATATACGCTCGGGACAGGAGGCGCCTGGTATACTCGTATCTGTTGTACAGGCTGAAAGTTCAACCTTATCAGAGCATTGAGCACGGATTCTCATTTTGATAGGTATTCTTGGCTTTAAGGACGAGATATATCTTGACACTCAAACATTTCATAAAATGTATATTCCGTACTACCAATCATCGTTTTTGTCAATTGTGCCATAGCTAAACCGAAATAAAATTTTGCTCGTGTTTTCGATTCTCACTAAAACCTTGCCGCGACCACCCACCCTCAAAGCCATCTCAAAGCTACAAACACTAAAGTTTTAACATCAAATTCTTTAACTATTCTCATACGGATCATTGCCTGATAAGTCTGACACATCTCCGATATTTAACATAGCGAGGTGTACCTTATAACACTGAAATTTAGCAAGTCCATTATAATTATCATCCTCATCGTAATCGGTGACGATACAATGATGTGAGGAGCAATGAGGCCTGAAATCTGGGGGTATTCTGATGTAATTAGTAAAGGCACGTGAGCTTAAAAACTATGAAGATCTATAGTTTTTCTTTCTTTAAAAGTGCATAATCACATATTTGCATGAAACACTATCTAAACATGTTACAAAACGATAGGATCCTACAACCTTGGAAAAAGACCTAACTTAACTAAGATCTCTCTGCCTCGTGAGCGAGCCTTAGCGAGCAGAGGGACTTACCTCTAATGTCAAGTTTCTTGGTGACAAGCCCATTGTCAGCCTAAGACTTAAAACAGGTAAGAATTAAGACTAGGTTGAATGTTTCAAGACTCACAAAATGTATACTTCAATACTTATAAGATAGCTTGATAGTTTTTTTTAATTCTTTGTGAGATGATGGTCAATTGTAGTTGGAACAATTGATTTAGAAGGTACAGTGTTGAGCACTGGTCTACCTCAATACTGATCTTAATGATATACTTGTTGAGATTGTCTTCCAAAGTGAGTACAAAGGTTTGTAAACTGGCTTTAGGTTACACTTGAGTGTAGGTTGATAATGTGAGATTATCAAAGCAAGGAAAATGTGAAGAAGTTGGTTGACTAGACAACACTAGACAATCTTTAAAATCTTCGGGGTTTGAAGGAAATTGGAAAGATAAGATAGAGAGAAAAGAATTCACACTAAGAACGAAGAAAGTATTTCAAGGTGGGATAAGTATGAAGGATTTTTAGACACTGGTTTGAATAAGGCCCCGTTTGGTATAGCTCACAGCTTTTATAAATACATTAGAAATTAATAGATTATGCAATGCATAATCTATTATTTTATGAAGCCAATTTTCAATTCTGAAATTACATTTTCATGTGTAGCAAAAAACAAATGATGGTGTTCGGTCTTGTTTGGTATTTCACCAAACTTGACTACAGATCTATAAAATATAAAAACGTGGAATCAACTCGCATGAAGTACCGTGTCTTGGATCTGGTTCACTTTGCTCCAGGTCGCTTTTCATGCTTTTGAAATGTTTCATTTCAATTGTGATAGTGTTGTGTTGTCTTTCCTAACTTAACACAAGTCCCAAACTCGCAAGGGCTTTCTTACCTTTGCGAGCTCGGTGCCCTGGAGAGGGACTTGGGACTTATCAGCTACTTTTGGTGTACCAGCAGGGACCCGAAAAGGCCCTGCTCTTCTACATCCGGGTATCTTCTGTAGTTGATACAATATAGATTTTCTGAGGAGAGCAAAACCTTCAGAACATTTAGACAAACAACTTTGGTTTTTGAACGAAGTTCACTGCTCAATTATTGATCCTATTGCAAGAGAAATAATTTAGGTCCTTTTTAAATTTTGTTTTCAAAATAGAGTCACCAAACCACAAATCTCAAAATATTTCTCTCTCTCTTGAGAAAACTCAGAGCAAGATATGTCAAATCTGAATAGACAGATCTGATGAGAATGGGCACAGATAGCTCCAGTTCAAATGGGCAAGGGGGTTGATTGAGAAGAAGTGGGAGCTTTTGTGGTTTGAAAAAACCTCCAAGCCAAACTTGAATTTTGAACCCCCTGCTGGCTCACCAGGGAAGCCCGATAAGTCATAAGTCCCTCTCCAGACACCCGAGCTCGCGAGGAAAAAGTGTCTGGGCCACAGAGGGACTTAGTTAAGTTAGTTGTCTTTCTTAGTGCTTCCCGGTGGTTTTCTCACTCTGTGGAGAGTAAGCGCTAATGTGTGCAATCACACTCTTTTTGTTAGTCGATAACACAATAACAGACAATCACATTATATTTTCTTTGTTAGTGCACGACTGTATTCTCTGCCCAGTGCTTTTCCCACCCGTTGATCGGAAGCTCTACCTTTTCATTATCGCTTGTCTGTTTTTGTTCGTGTTTGTTTTGTTTAATTATACAATCATATCTATATACTTAAAGAAATGTTCCTCCCGACTGTTTCCTCTCTTCAGCCTCAATTTCCTATCCCCTGCTTGGGTCAGTACCCTATATTTGTTACTGACCTATACTGAGCCCTATACCCACCTCTACGTTGCCCTCTACACGATACATGACCTTTGTGACCGTCACTGTTCTACCCTTGAATCTTGATGTTCCCATTGCTGCCGTAGCCTCCAGGGTCTCCCTGTACTACACTCATAATGAATGCGTCTTATGACGTCTTAGCCTCATGGTTGTTCTGAAACCACAGTTGCCTTGCCAGTCATTGGACCACTGTTCCTCTATCGTCGATCCGCAGCATATACTCTGTAATTAACCTGGTCCAGGCTTTTGGGTGTTGCTGTTCTTGTTACTGTTCCTATCATAACATAATCATTAAATGTTTGCTCAAAAAACCCAACAAAATACACCATTAGTGAGGTTTTCAAGTTTTGCACATGGGCAAAAATCAGCCAGTATGAATCAATTCACATACAACATCATCTCCCACTCCTACAATATACCCGGCTCACTTTTACTCCCTACCTGAAAAGCATCTGGATCTCGGAAACAATCATGGTGATCCCCACTGGATCTTGCACCATCTTTATCGGACGGGCATTTACAATGTTATCAACAAATCGAGTGACCCAAGTAATCCAAGCATAAGGGATATCAATATTTGACACGAAGAGCTCAAGATTGTTCACAATTGATGTGAAACTGTAATTAGGATGTAGAGGCAGTATCATTCTATGAATTTCATTCTATGACTTTGATTTTATGTATCGATAAAGGTTGAAGAAAGTCTATGTTGAGGATATCTCCTTTGAAATGGTAGTACCAAAGAATGGAGCTCAAGCATTTGAGATTGACCAGGATCGACCCATCCACCTATCTGTACAATCATTTGCCTCATGTAAGTGCACAAAGTAAGTTCACTTTCAAACAATTTCCAACTAAATCAATCAGTTACTCGCCATAAACTCAACACAGGGATGATTTGTTCTGACTCAAGTCAAATGGCTACTTTCGGCCACATCTGATTTGACAATATCTTTCACACTTGAGGAAGGATTGGGTTTGTAACCAGAGGCCACTAATTAGATCTTGCTTCAAACTCGAGCCAATCAACAAACACTTCACTATTTCAAACTTCTTATTCAGATATCTCATAAGTATTTTGCAATACTTTTCAACATCAACATTTTGTTTCTATTGTATGAATGAAATTATCACCTGTGGCCATCCACATCCTCGGACATTATCCGAAGAAAACAGAATCCGTATCTACGGAGTGTCTCCGGAATCCTATTAGTGAGCCGAGTAGCAGGAGAGCTGAACTCTGCTCAACTCCAAATTTCTCTAAGTCCCCTTCCACCATACCCCACCCATGTATTGCCTTCACCACCTCACCACCCCGATGGCCCAGTTCACCAGCTCACCGTAGCCAGATCAGTAGTTCACCACCTCACCACCAAGCTCGAACCCGCCATCAACCTCACCACCTGTCCACCTCAAATCAAACTCACCACCTCACCACCAAGCTTGACCCCCCCATCTACCTCACCAGCTCACCACATGAAAATTACAACTCTACATGGACCAATCAATACACCCACGTATTGGATCCCACCCCACCTTGACTACCTCACCATCTCCCTTACCACCACATCAATTTCTTCACCGGTCACGATCTAATAAGCACCGATACTCAACACTGACTACACTGGTCAACTTGGTCAACTGTCGGGCCCAATTCCCTCGAAGCTGCATTACGTGAGGAGAGTCACTGGCCTCTTGTTTTGCGCTCGATTCTAACATCTTTTTTTCCAATCAATGACTTAGATAGATCGAAGTAGAGTAGTTGGATTTTTCTTTCTAGGTACCACGAGCTTTGATCAGGCCAGACAAAGCAATCTCAAGTTGATTCTTCATCTGAAACAAACCCCATCAATCGCTTTCATCTCACTTCAAATGTAATACAATTTGTACTACCCTCATCCTATCAAAATACATACTATTTGTCAGTTGGAAGTGATTAATTTGTACTACCCTCATCCTACCCAAATACATACTATTAACCAGTCTGAAGTGATTAATTTGTACACCTTTTCAACATACTCTCAATTAATCAAATTCAACGCCGAACCAATTTCAAACATACAGCAGCACAAAAGTGTGATATCAAACACTGTGTTGATCGGTCCACAATTATCTCATTGAACAACAGTGCGAAATGAGGAAACAGCATGATTACTTGTTAATCCAAGTGATGAGATCCACAATCATCTCATAGAACAACAGTGATAAGATGAGAAGACAGCATGATTAAATTATACATACATTCTCGAATTCTTCCTCTTCCATTTCAAAATTTTCAGAAGTGTACAAGTCATCTTCCTCTACCTCGGCTTCATCTTCTCCAATCAGATCGCGCTCCTCCTCTTCCTCATCAATCCTTGCCAGAGCCTGTTCCCAGTGGCCAAATTGCCCTTCCATGAGAGACTTCCACTTAATAACAAGGACTTGGTCGTGTGCCAATCTTGTAGGGCTAGTAAGATATACTGAGGTCGACCTAATCAAACTAATCAAATCGGCGTTCCAATGAAACCAAAGTCTGCGTATGTCCTTTGATAGCCCGAAGTGTAAAGAGACAGTGTTCGCTTGCCTTTCATCTAATCGGCCATTTCAGACGATGATATACAGTTGTGAGTTCAATTATCTGATTGATATTATAATAGAAATGATGCAAGAGGAACTTACGTATGCCATCAGCAGCTTCACGATCGATTGAGTCAATCTTTGACTGGTAATCTACGGCCCACTGTGTCAACTGTCGCACCTCACGCGCGATCCGACGCAGTTCCTCTTGTGACGAGCGTAGAGTCAGATACAGTTGGATACCTTCGCGCGTTGGCAGGTCACTTGCCCAAGGCTCGCCCGTATGACTAAGGGTTGATCCACCCGACCAGAACAGATCTGTAATTTCCATCCTTTCTACGTCAGCCAGAGAGGGGTCATCCAAGAGAGGTCTGGGTGCAAATTGGTCGTTGTAAGCCTTGACTCGTCGATGATAAGAGTTGTATTTTGTTTTGAATGCTTTATTCTTGTGTGACTTGACTTCGTTCATTCGTGCCTGGCTAGTGCTTCCTATAGGTATGTCAGTATTGTGTATTCACAACTGGGGGGGGATACTGTCAATAGACGTACCAGAAGTGCGCTCAGCACGCCTTCGTGCCTCGATGACACCCACTCGGGCCTCATAGAGCTTACTCTTAGCTACTTGGAGAGCCAGTAAGGGCTTTGCTCGATCATCTGAAAAGTATCAAGCATCCCAAACATAAGTAAATACAACTTGACACAAATTATCCAGCAATAACGTCACCCGTGTGACCTGTTAGCTCCAAAAACTCCTCTGCCCCCAGTTCAGCCGCCGTGTTGTGAATTTGGGTTTCCAAGAGGACCAAAGATTTAGGTAAGCTTAGGAGGTCCTGCTTCTCGCGACCAGTTCGAGCTCGGACCCTTTTCAACTTCAACTTTTTGAGGTCTTCCCTGGAAAACATCAGTTGCATTTGATGTGTGAGTTTCTCCTGAGAAGTATGACACATTCCTGTTCGAAGGCCACTTACCGAGCTTCAACCAGCTTCTCCTCCATGTCCAGCAGCTCAATCATGCGCTCCTTTTTCTTCCTTGCTGTTGTGCTGATTACATCCATCTGAGTAGTCCTCTGTCGATCCCATTGAACACTTAAATATTCTACTGTATGTCCGTGCTCTGTCTGAATCTGGTCCAGAGAGTTTTGAGCCAATGAAAGTCGGATCTGGGCTTTCTTTAAATGCAAAACTGTCGATTGTACTGATGGAGTGTGTCAGTATCATATCTGTGAGATTTCAATCCCAGATTCAAAGGCTAGACTGACCTGCTTTATGGCGATTTCTATGGTTCCAATGCAGAGCCCGGAGATTGATGCTTTCGAGTCGATGTTCACTTGTAGAGTAGCGTAGAGGTGATATAAGTGCAGATAGGAATGACCAGATACGTTCCAAACCTTCGCCGTCAGAAAGGCCCCACCCAGCGTTCAGTCGTGGATTATACTCCAATTGACATAACCACTCATGCACATACGCGTGGAAGACGCTAGTGCCAAATTTGAGACGGCCATTGGCTCTTTCTTTAGCAAATTGTTTGCGCTTGTTCAAAAACCCACAGAAACATAACATAAGATAAGATAAGAGCACAAAATTTATGACAGATCACTGATTGAACATACCTTGAGTATTCCTTTTTCAATATTACAGCCTATATCGTAAAGCAAACCCACTTTATTTGCACTCATTCCTCTGTTATCAGTTATCTCCAGCAACCAATTCAACAAAGCAAGAGAAAAGTAACTCCTACCAATAACATGATTTTGCGTTCAGCGTTAACTGCATAGACCTTTTGAGTTGAGATTATCAGAGTACATTACTTTTCACCGCTTTGTTTTATGTTCATGAATTGTAGAACATGATCATGGCGACAGGCCATGCCGAGTAAGCCCGTATCATCATTCCCACTCCAATGACTCTTGTCTCGCACATCATCCGCCGCTGTGTGTTGTGCTGTACAAGGGTCCTAATGGAACATATGAATTCTATAAGTCAAACTGAACTGTAAAAATATGTATCTATAGACGTTAGGATAATATCACATACCACAGGTTCATCATCCTTTTTAGAGCGAACATTTCGTATGCTCTCAGCCATCAATTCAACCTTTGCTGAATCCATAAACAGTTCCGGTGTTTCTGGTTGAAATCCGGGAATAGGTACACTCGCCGCAAGATGCCTTCTATGTTGAAAATTACCATCACAGCAGCATATAATATCTGGCTCGAAAGCTTCTGTTTTGGCATCAGGTGCTGGTGGTCCAAAACATCGTGGACAGTTGACCGCAAGTTTCTCTAACTCGCTTAGTTTCAGTAGCATCATCTCCTTTTTCCGGACTGCTGTAATCAGCTTACGATAAGCATCTGAAGCGGCACCCAGAGGCTTTCTCCACTCCCGAGCCTGTGTATAGTGAAATATGTATTTCTTCAATGAATAGGTATGTTCACCAATCCTGAAGAAAAAGATAAGATATAAACTCACCCGATTTGTTCTTCTTGAGGTAATGACAGGACAAAACGCATCTAGCCATTCATCCAGAGCCAACGCGTACGGCTCAGTTCGAACACAGCAGTGTTTCCAAAGAACATGATGCTGCCGGAGCAAATTGAAGCTGAAAGCGGTCTTAGGGTGTACAGGCGAAGCTCCCATATAGCCCAACTGGATTAATCTACCCTGATCACTTTGACACGCACAAAAATCAATGGCTCTCTGACATCGAACTATGTCTTACAAGTTGATATTAACCATGGATTACTCGAACACTGAAGGTAATAGTAAGAAACTCACATGCGGTATCTAGCAAGTCCACAATCCTTACACGGCGATCTTTTCCTTTGCATGTACAAGGAGGCTTGACATCGCGTAAAGCTTCAGCTGGATTACCCCAGTTAGAGGTGCGATCTCGGCATGCTAGAAACAACGGCAGATTCAGCTCGTACTGCCGTAACCAACGTTTTTCTTGCTCAAGTCTTCGAGCTTGAGCATATGAATAGTTGAGCATCCCGATTAGGGGGTCTTCTTCATTGTTCGCAACCACTTCCTCATCCTGCTCGTCTATGTCCATCCACGCGCCGGTGTTGTCATGCATTGGTAGATGGTTGATATCCTCAAAGTTACCTTCTTCTTGTTGTTCTCCGGCTGTATCAGTAGCAGGTGTGAAAGGACCGATAGGAGGTTGGTTTGATGATGAGCTCTCGGCGGCGGCAGCTCGAATCTTGAGGTCTTTGAATTCTTTCGTTTTGCGGGCATGTACACGTTTTTGAAGCTCAGTTGCATTCTTGGAAAGCTTAGCAACACCTTTGAAAGAGGCGACCTTTCGTTTGCCGGCCATGATCGAGATAAATGAAGAGACCGTTGATGAAGTGATTGTTCACTGTTTCATTCAGGACTAAAAAGTTTATTTCACTCCAAAAAGGATATTCTCCTTATTTCATAAACAATATACCATACCTGTGCTAATCACGAAAGCAAGCCAATACAGACATTACCTTTCAAAAGGACTTGGCTTTTCCCCTTTGGGACTGACTAGTCCACTTTAATATCTATTGTATTCATTCACTGAAATCCATGTGAGTATACCGATACGTGACTCTGATAGTTACATTTTGACAATTGCTCTCACTTACACTACAGTCCAAACATACGATCGGACCAATATCATGTTTTGTGATGATGGTTAGACATGGTTCTTTTTCTAACTGTCAAGTGAGATCAAACTGGTTTTTGATTATGTTACACTGTCTCATTCGAGCACTACCTTGAGTTCTTCGTGTTTGTAGAATCGTGAGAAGTTTATGTTCGGAAGGTGAAGATAACTCTTATGCACAAATATAAAATCTTCGGTGACCTGTGATAAACCTTCACAACATTTCACATTGACGTTTCTTTTAAAACTGTGTGAGTAGCACATGTTTAAAGCAATGTAGTGTGCTATGCGTATGTTTGTGGCATGGTCAACTTGCTTATCATTATTGAGAACTCAAATCAGATAACATGATCAGTTTTGAGATCTCCAAGTACAAGTAAACTTTATATTTTTTGCGGCTTGATGGATGGATCAAAGTACAATAGCGGTTCTTCAAACATCATGGGCTAGACTGGTATCTAGTGGCTGTTGTTTAGAATTCATCATTCATCTCATTGTTTGAATGGTGTTAAATCTTCATAAGTTGTAAATCAATGACTTGTTTTTGACCAGTATCATCAGTAAGTTTGATAGGCACAGGTAGGTCTTCACCTATTTCTCCTCGTGCTTTTCTTTCAGTTTCTACATCCTTATCTTCAGATAGATGGGAAAATAACAAAAAACAGAAAGGTTGGATTTTGTATACAAGCACAATGTTGGTTTGGTAAGCTTACTTATCATTATCAACTACTCAAATGAGAGAGAAGTTGAAGTGTGCAACAACTCAAAGTACAAGTAAAATTTTTCTCTTTTGGCTTTTTGATAGTCATGGCTGTTGATTAGATTTCATTGGTCATCTTATTGTTTGTTCAGAGAACAAGAAGAATAATAGTCAACAAGCAAAGATATACATTTTCTTATGTGATGTCTTATTGGAGTTTTGAATCATGATTCAAATTTGGATATCTTTTGAGTCCACAACCCTGGATAGTAACCCAATAGTTATTTGACTAACTAAGAATTGGACGGAATTGACTTTTATATCATTGCAACAGCTATTGGCATCACAACAAAATCACATCAAACATGATGTTTGGCACACCTCAAAATAGTTCCAACATCATTGTCCAAGATCCAAGCAGTTGAGTACAAATACAATGAATAAACAAACCGTTTCAGTAAAATCATATGTGTTTTGTTTATTCATTGTGTCTTGGAGCATCAAACAGACAAAATCAGTGCAGATAAAAACTAGTGTGAATGATGATTGTTGGTGATTTTGCTTTTTTGATGGCTAAGAGACATCACATTTCCCTACTCGAGCCAACTAAGTTGTTTCTTACTTTGAGTAACATATTGGATAGAAACACACATATTGGTTTATGACTTGAGTTAACTCAACCTTGAGCATTTGAAGTATGAACATTGAATAATAATCCTCTACCACTGGGTTTGATTGATTATACCAATCATCACATCTATTCTCTTAATCATTCAAATAAACCTCCAGATCAAAATCTTAAACAATAATATCAGACTTCACATTCTTTACTTTCAAATAAAAAAAATCAAGTGTGTATTGAGGAGAAACTATCAAATGATTTGGTTTAATGATAGATGCAGCTTCAACGGGTTCAAGCATTCATGTTTATCTTTCCTCAAGATCTTTACCAACTGAAGATCCATATAATTCATTACCAGTCCAACATTAAGTATATGGATTGTTTAATAAAAACTCAAGGACTTTTTTCATTTGCTACTTCCCCCAAAAAGGCAGCTCAATCATTGAAAGTTTTATTAGATGAAGCAATTAAAAGTGTTCTGGAAAAGGAGAGAGGTTTTCCACCTATTTCTGTTTGGAGCTCAGGCTTTTTAAGACCATTTTAAGATTATTAGCTGAAGCTCGAAGTATGGCTATCATTAATGAAGTTGAAAGGTATTTCTTGTATTCTGAATTACCAATATGCCATTTCAGCCATATATTGCCATATGGATCTCAACGCTCAGGATTTCAAATCCACAACAAATGATAAAAAACTAGGTAAAACATGAAGCATTGACTCATTACATTTGAGAATACATAAACAACGGCATAGTGTGAAACCTCGATCAACGGGTCTTACTTGTAGTGTGACGACTTGATCGGGCTGTAGGTATAACTGTTTGGGCACCAGAGCGAGTGGTGCGAGGCACAGGTATCGTACAAGCTTGAGGCTGAGATTCCTTGGACTTGACAACTTTCTTATTTTTCCTCGGAGGTCTTTCCTCGTTTGTGGTCCTTGATGATACACGCTTAGTCCTTTTGTTCTGTAAATAGAAGAGCATTCAAATCCATTGTTTGTACATACATATATACAGGAAGCTAACCTTGAAATGTTTAATCGGTTCCTCTCCTTTGCTCGCATCTGTTTCCACTTGACCAACCGGAGATTCATTGGGTTTGTCTTTGTCTACTTGAGGCAGGAATTCTTTTACAAAACGATGCGGTTCATCCAACATATCTTTGTCCTCTTGAGCTTGATTAACATCAACTTCAAATCGATTCCAAATAGGTTCGTTCAATTGTTTGGTAAGTATGCCCTTGTATTGTGGAGCGGTTTGATCGAAAACTTGTTCTTGGCTCAGGTGAGCCGGATTAACTGGGATGTCTTCTTCGATGTCTTCTTCAAAAGATATCTAGAGTGAACGTTCTAAGTCAGGCGAGTCGTCTTGGGTTGACTGTTGCTGAAGACAAAATCCTACATGTTTGTCGGTGGCACTCTTATCCAAGTCTTTCGAAAATCCAAGGGCTAGAGCCTGATTCAGTCCACATCAGTTAGTGAAATGGTTGTCACAACATATGTAAAGGCTGAGTTCATACTTACAACTTCATCTTCGTTGGAATCAGCCTCATTGACCTTTGGAGGACTCTGGAAATTCATAATTGTTAAACTTTGATGCCCATAGCTTATCAATTAACGTAGTTTTGAAATAAAGACTGACTGTGACCGAATGTATGGTACTGTGTTGATTTATGAGTTTGTCCAACTCCTGTAATATGATGTCCTGTCTTCTTGGTGACAGTTGCAAGATGCGTGTAGCACGACTCTCGATTTTAGCACGACTGTCGATTTCCTGTGTATAAACTATATTAGGAACAATAGGAACAGCCTTTGAAACAAAGTACAGAATTCAGTAATTTCAATATCCTGAAGTTGAATGAAGAAAAGTGAGCTTGTCAAAAAATACTCACTACAGACATTTGCTTTGCCTCTGTGTCCGCCGGTCCATGATTGTGACCGATTCGAACGTGGTGGAGCTCCCAGGTATTGGTTGTTTTATCCAATTTGCCTGTAAGACGAAATGGGCACTGGATCTTGATGGATCTGGTGACGTGTGGCTTTTTGGGGTTGGTGGAGCAAGGTGGAGCGTCACCATTGATTTTCTTTGGTTTGGGACGAGCTGGATGACCCCCTCGATGGCAGTCGTAATGACATAATCCGCCATTGTCGTTTGAAGAGTGTGATATGGTGATCTTGTAGCCGTGTCGTACTACAAAGTCCTTCACGTAATTGTCCAAACGCTTTCGGTCTTCTTTGGGAGTATCTGTAACCTTGACCTGGATTACCGGTGGAACTGGCAGAACTATCCACATTGGACAGGCCATATCGAATAAATGGCTGAGGATTCTTGGTTGGTGTTTCGGATTTGGACAGGTGGACTAGTAGAGTGGTGAGCGGGTGATGGAGGGATCGTCTTGTTCTGTGATTGTTGACTGGTAAAAACAGCTTTTCTTTACACCCAAGATCACGGCGTGATCTTGGCTCCGGCAAGGTCAATGCCCCGACTGGCTTGGGCATTCGGCTACATTGTAAAGTCAAGGCCATGAAGAGAGCCTCCTCATGGCCTCGACCGGGGACTTGATTGAGGAATTGAATTCAACGAAGTAAAGAAACAAAACTAAATGAACAAACAAATTGAAACAACCAAATTGGAACTTTATGATGAGTTAGGATGAGTTTGAGATACTCAAAGACATATCAAAAATCATTATTTATTAATGAAGAACGAGGGACAACTATATTAATTGTATTTCAGCCAATACAATATAACCGTGAATCAAAAAGAAAACAAACTAAGTAGTTGAGTTTGACACACTTCCAGGTGGTACGCTGGCCAGTACAACTGTATAGTGTTGTTCATTGATCTCCTTCAGCCACAGTCGAACATCTCCAAGACTCATGTTTCCTGGTGCAGGCCCCTTCTCAAGCATTGCATCAGTTATCTGACAGTCTTGAGTGCAATGAACCTTAAGTTTCACACTTTGAAGGAATTTCTTACTTTCAAGTAACAAATCACATTTAGGACCTTTGGGATGAATGTCAACATTTGGTCGGGGTGGGTAAGGTAGTTGATTTTCTTGGAGGTTAAATTGGTGTCATAAGTTACTTCCTTTTCTTGGAAGAAAAGGATATACCACTTACCAACCAGCTGGTTAAGACGCGAGGTGAGCTCCTGTCGCAATCGAGTTTGCTCGGTGGCAGTGGCTGGTTTGGCGTTTGTGGAGGCTTTCTTTTTGAAAACATCACGCGGACATTGAGTGGACTCCTTGGCAAAATTTTCAAGTAAATGATGCTCAGATTTGACCAACTGTGCCCATCGATCACAAGACGTGTACTCCTCCATCCATAGAGCCTTGGCAAGTTTAGTCTTTGGGGTGAACGATGACACAAGAAGATGAAATTCGATTTGAAACTGTGCATGCAGTGCATGAAGCTTGAAGGAAATGTTAGTACATGTTAGAAATTATGGGATTAAGAACAGCTTACTTGTTTGACAACTTTGCCCACCTCGTCACGACCTTTCTTTTCACTTTGTACACTCTGTGGAATGCCGAGTGATCCACGTTCGAAATGACATTCAACCTTACACATATTGACTAGCTCGCGGAAGGTTGGGATGTAGGAAGTTAAATCAGAGGGGTTGAGAGAATCTTCGGTTGCTGGTATTGAGCTTTGAACACTATCTGGCTGTAAGACAGCTTCAGCTAATCGTTTGAAGAAGGGGGGGTGGAAGATAGCTTTTTGTTGGGTATCAAGGCTGGTCCACACATTCCCAATAGCTTTGTTACGTGGTGCAAAACCGGGACGAGTATTGCGAGGTGGCACTGGTAGGTAATGTGATCCAGTGAGGAAGTTTAGCAAGATGCACGATAGTAGCATGTGTAATGCAGCGAGGACAGCTTACTAGCTGTTTCCTGGGTGTTCTTCTTGCTGTATGCTCGGTAGGTATCGTACGCTGTGGTAGCACATTGACTAAGTCCGAGGAACCTATACAAATGTACAGATGAATTCAAATATCAATTCATCGTTTGTTCGTGAGGATGATATTTTGACTTACAGGGCTGCCCTCAAGGTGGGATAACTGACGTGCCCGGCAAGACTTAGCATCTTGAGCGATCGTTCGAAGGTGTCCTGTAGCGCTTGAGCTTCCAAGAGAATGTCTTGTGAAGGTCGGTTGTTTGATCCAATCTTTCGTCTAGCCAGTACTTTGTCTAAGTAGGTATCAGTCCATTCCACACCTACGGTGGCATAGTTTGCTAGAGTGGGAAGTACAGCGTTTTTGAGATTAATGTTTGAATCTTCGTCTTTGTCTGGATGTTTGTCGTTGTCTTCATCAGAATTTTCTTTGCTGTCATCTCGAGAGGTATCAGATTGTTCCCCATCGGTGCTGGGGTCTTTGATCAATTCAAATGAAAGATGTTGATATGAGTTGATTGATGTTTCAATGTTTTGGTGAGAATATTGAGATAAAAGGTACTCTACCTGGAGACTGGTTGCGCTTCTTGCGAGCAGATTGGCGAGTTGTTGGCTTTGAGCTTGAACTTTGTTTCGAGCGCTTCTTGGCTGAAGGCATTTCACGTGAGTAAGAAAGGGATAAACTGTTGAGCTGATTATGGTGATGGTAGATGGATTGGATGATAATTTGACGGAGGAATGGATGAAAGCGTTTGTAGCAAAGATCAAGAGTTGGCGAGATATATGGTCAGCTGGTGAGTTTGATAGACAGGTGGTGAGGTCGGTCCACAGGTGGACGGGTGGTGAGGTAGCGAGTTGTAATTTTCATATGGTGAGCTGGTGAGGTAGATGGGGGGGTCAAGCTTGGTGGTGAGGTGGTGAGTTTGATTTGAGGTGGACAGGTGGTGAGGTTGATGGCGGGTTCGAGCTTGGTGGTGAGGTGGTGAACTATTGATCTGGCTACGGTGAGCTGGTGAACTGGGCCATCGAGGTGGTGAGGTGGTGAAGGCAATACATGGGTGGGTTATGTTGGAAGGGGACTTAGAGAAATTTGGAGTTGAGCAGAGTTCAGCTCTCGTGCTACTCGGCTCACTAATAGGATTCCGGAGACACTCCGTAGATACGGATTCTGTTTTCTTCGGATAATGTCCGTGGATGTGGATGGCCACAGGTGGTCAAATTACACTCTATCTGAAATACCTGTTAGAGCAACTTTCATTTTTGCATCATGATGTTTGGATAAATTTTGGCAGAGATACGCTGAAATACAAAAAATCACTAATGTTCTCAGGGCTTACCGACATACTGGACCAAGTGTCTCATGCTGAACTCCAAATTCAATCACTTTTTGAACACACTCAACTATTTTACGGGTGTCTGTAGAATCATTCAAGTTAAAGGCAGACCGCGTTTGGCGGCAAAACTCCAAAAACTCCCAATCCCTATTCCAAATTTTGAGGTTTACGCGTTCCAACCATAATCTTTTTCTTACGCGCCTCAAGCCTCCCATTTCATTTGTCATTGCTCACGAACAACTCCCCAACCTGTTGACCTCACTGTGTCTCTTCCCAATCGCTTGACCGCTTCTTCAATAAATTGTAGCAATTCTATAATCGATTAATCAAATGAAAGTAAATTTAATAAATCCATCACATCAACCAAAACCGATCTCCAATCCACACAAACAGAAAGATATGATTATCTTTCAAAAGTAAGTGTACACCAAAAAAAATCAAAATCTATTTACTAAAGAAAAATCAAACAAAAACTTTCTAAGAACTGATTTAAGTTGATAATTTTTGTTTGTAACAGAGAAAAAAAGAAATTGAATTTGAATTAAATGAACAATTTGAAGTCTTAAAAACCAATCAAACAGAGTTAAATCCATCATTAAACAATCACCAAGGATTTCCACCAATTTATCATCAGTTAGAGTTTCAAGAGGAAGGGTTCATGAATCAAAAAGCGATCTAAAGTTAATAATCGAAGAGATATCCAAAACGTTACCATTAATTTTAAACCCATCCACAGTCCCATCGTCATCATCAACAAAAGAAAGGGAAACAAATTTGATAAAACTGTTTGCTCAAGTTGATTTAGTTTCTGATCATTCTCCTGCATAT